TTTTTTTCTATGATGAACAAAAACTAAAGGTTCCTTACTTCCTTTTAGTATGTAATGTAGACTATAATCATGGACCACATACATCTGAGTCATCCATTTATCTTAAAATATTGACATCTTGTTATTTAGACAAACTGAAACCAGTACAACCAGTCCACATCCAGAAATGCACTGTACCTGAACGCACCATTCACACCAGACAACAACAATTACGAAAAACATTCAATCAAAGCTTTATATGTAAATATGTTGACACTTCTGACACAAATAATTATTTCTCTCAAACAAATGAATATCCTTTTCCTGTTCTCACTTGCAGAAACATCTATTTCTTCCTCTACAGTAGCTCCTTCCTTCTGCCCTCATACCATTTTACTTTTATCTTTCTTTCCATATCATCAATTCACACTCTCTGCACACAGAATATCCAGTACATGTCCAGACTTACCGAAGCAGAAGAGACAGGTGATGATGAGAGGGTTCATATCCCAGGAAGATTGTTGTGTGTATGGCAGCTAATCTGTGTATCTGTGTGTGCAAGTGTGTGTGTCTCCCCTGCTGATAGAGGTTGTTCTTTGCTCTCTTTACCTCCACTGGGTGCAGCTTCAGCTTTTATAGACCAACGCCTGCCTCTTATATGCAACAACGAAAGGGCGTGTGTGTGTGTGTGTGTGTGTGTGTGTGTGTGTGTGTGTGTGTGTGTGTGTGTGTGTGTGTGTCGCCTGGGGCAATCGATTAAGCATCCTATGCCCTCACATATAAAAAGGCTTCTGACTTGAATAATTTTCCTGAACAAAACCAAGACACAGAACATTTTAACGTATTCTGTAATTGTTATTGCCTCCGCACGTCTCCCTCTATGCTCAAGAATCAGGCCAAAGTTACCAAGTGATTCCATTAGGTACATAGACACACACTCACAAAAAAACACTCACAACTCTGATACAAGTGAAGACCTTGTTTCAACTTTACAAAAACTGAAAAATAACTGATTTCATAGACATATTTGTATTTTAGTTTGGGAATATTCAAAGTGTGAGAACGTTTAATGAGTTTAACAGATGATAAACATACGCTTGTGTTGGTAATAAACTGAAAGTCGAGGTCATCACTGCAATTCTACAATATTATATGGTCCGCAGAAAGAAAATACATGCATGAAAAGCAATAATCACAATCATAAATTGCTTGCACCTCGTGAGCCACAGATGAAAGATGGTAATCAGGAACAATGTGAATCAAATTCACAATTTTTTTGTAACCTTCTTTAATGTTTTGAAAACATGACGTGTGTGTATGTGTATGTGTGTGTGTGTGTGTGTGTGTGTGTGTGTGTGTGTGTGTGTGTGTGTGTGTGTGTGTGTGTGTGTGTGTGTGTGTGTGTGTGTGGTCTGATTAAATTATTTTAGTACACTGTAACCAAGAGGAGACCTTAAGGCTTGGGTGGGGATGCTGCACAGACGGGTGTGTTGGTTATGTTGTTGTGTCTGCACTCAGAGCATGACCCATCCTCCAGCTCTGGTGCGATCCAATACAAACCTGCCAGGAATGCTGGGAACGACCAGAAGCTCCTTACTGGTTTTGTTTATGAAGGCTTTGGAATTGAATTGTTTGGATTATGTGTGATGGCATTGGGGAAATGTGATATGAACGTGTGGAAAGTGTGATACAGGCCAGGAGAGAAGTACCTCATAATATTTACATTGTAAACACACTGCTACTTAACTAATGAAGGAGGAAAACTAAATGTCACGCAGACACACGGATACAATCGTTTCTATTTGGATACGTTTGAATCATGCATTGTAACAAAACAGTTAATGTTGGTATGGTGTTCGAAAATCAGGGGATCACCAAAGTTACTACAATTAGAGTGGTCACTATGATTCATCCTCTCAGAATCATGAATACCTGTACTAAAGTGTGAGCCGATTCATTTTAAGACGTTTCACTGAATAAGTGAAAAGTTATGGCAGAAGCACCAGAGGAAAAGGCAGTCTTGAGTATTCCTCCTCTGGGGATTATGAATGTCTGTGTTTCATGGCAATTTATCCAATAGCAGTCGAGATACTTCAGGGGTGACACAAGAGACCAACATTACCACCCGCAGAGTGTTAGTGAGGCTACAGTTAAATATTAGAGCCATATTTGAGCTGCAAAAATATGTATATGGTACACGTGGACGTTTTTGTCTTCTTAAATGACACACGAGGTTGCAGTTTTACGGGCTTCCGGCAACCACATTACTCACTGCAATGAGCCAACTACTATTGCTTATGCAATAATTAGGTAATAACCGTTACACAGAATGAGCACAGTAGAGATTAGCATAGCTATTCTTGAATTTCGGATATGCAGAGGTTCTTTATTTAGAATGAAATGAGGGCTACTTAATGGGTTTGTTTGGGCCTTTGTGTGTGTAACTTAATGCTTATGTGTTTTTAACTATGTCTTAAGTTATGTTAAGAGAGTTCAAGTTTATGTGTGCTCACTGCTAAAGAACATTCAAGACAGCTCATTGACTCGGGGCGAAGCACTGATGAGTAAGAGAGTAGTGTTGAAGCAGTTACAGATTAGCTCAACCCTGCATCCAGGACATACAAACGTAGCTATTTCATAGCATTATTATAAGTGCAAGGTAACCTTCAAACCCTAAAGTCAGATTTAGTTAACAAAAATATTTATATCATGTAATAATACGAATTTGGTTTGATGCAATAACTTTCACAAGATCAGATGAGAATCAATCGATGGAAAAGGAAATAGCCAGTGGCGGTTCTAGACCAATTTTAGGGGGGCCAGGCTGGGGCCAGCTATTTCTTGAGAGGGGCAGAATAAAAGTGGGTTAAAAAGACAAAGACAGTATAAAGTAATTGTGTAAAATAAACATAAAATACAGTAATTGGTATTTGTTTTTGTTTTGGTACATTTAAGTTACAGAACTTTGTTTCAGTCGTTTTTTTCATTTAGAGTGTTTGTTTTAGTAACTTTAAGTGACAATTTAATTTAAAAAAAGCATAAACAGTATTTGCTTGTATAAGGTAATGAACAGTTTAATCTCCATTGTACATCCGGGTCTCTGATTTTATTTATCCAATAAATTGTAATATTGTAACCTTTTTTATTTTTGGAGGGGGGCCACAGGGGGGTCCCTGGTATATGAAATATGTCTCTCCAAACTTCTACTGATTTTCTAGTGACTTACCTTGATCACTGCTTTCTGTGTGTCTCCACTGCAGTATCTTAGGTGCTTCCGTTTTCTACTCTTCTCTTTTTCCCTGTACACTTTGAGCAGGAACATTACAGGTGCAACTGGTAATGTTTCAACAATGGCTGGTCCTCGAAACTGTCAATCAAAAGCAGCTGATGTTAATTTAATTAATTACACCTGTCATAATGTGAGTAGGTGTTTATAAGCCTTTAGGTTACTGAGCTCTTTATTAGATTGTTAAAAAAACAGATCAGGACTCAGAGCGTTGACCGACCAAGCTCCCTTTCTCTGGAGTGTCCAAACTTTTAAGAGTGAGTTGAAGACCTTCAGTCAGGGCTGGCATTTTATGGTATTTATTTTAATTTTATGTTGCTTTATTTTATTGTTTGAAGTATTTCTATTCTCTTTGGTTGTATGTTATTTTACTTTGTTTTATTTCTATTTGTATTTGACACACTATCTTGTCTTTTCATTTTGCTGTAACTGTATTGTTTGCAATGTTGTTTGTTTAACCAATAAAGCCCACTGAGACAAACGAGTTGTGATATTGGGCGATACAAATGGACTTTGATTTGATTTGTTAGAGATCTAGAGTACAAGACTCTGATTCTGTCTCGTAGCATCCTACATTAGGAAAGTTATTTTACTTATCTGATGATTAACTTTTACTAATAAAAGCAAAAACACTCTAGACTTGAAAGACATAATTTAAATACAGGCAATACAAGCTGGAAATGTGAAATGTTTTTGCTTTAGTTTTTATTTTATTAAACATATTTTTCTGGTACATTTAGAGCTGATACTGCAATTTAAAAATGTAATATAAAAAAGAAAAGAGGAATGATTGATCACAAAGGAGAACAATGTGAAAAGTGTATACATACGTGAGAAAAATGTGAAGACTCTTAACCCTTCAGACAAGAATGGCATGTGAAGTGAGACCAAAGTCAATGAGACACAAAATAGTTTATTTTTGTAACAGAGCTTCCAAAACAAGACAAGAAACCATTTTACACATTAATACTTTATAATAAATTATCAAAATTCTTTCTCACTGAGCACATTTCATATAATAAAACATAGAAATATTAGTTTAATTACAGTTTTTGTTAAATGTATATATTCATCATGACAACAGAAGACACAAAAACCATAAATATGAGCATAACATTGCAGAAATTGTAGAACTGTGAATAACTTAACTGTAGAAAATAATCAGCAGACAGAAGGCAGCTAGATGGTTAAGACAGCATTATCAAAACAATTATAATCTTAAAAACATATCTCACAGTGACTGCTAACACATAGGGCTTGGTGTAAAGATGCTACAGCTTAATCTTTAATGGCAATGATTATTTTTATGTTCATTAGTCAGTTAAACAATGGGTTGTTGCCATAGAAGCACAGACCCTGGACAAGTGTTCAGAAATTACTGTATGTTATGTAATAACTGTATTACACATTACTGTTGCATTATGCCTAAAACATTTTTCAAATTTGGGTCATAATTGATCCATGCCCCACAATCATTGTCACCCACTGAAACGGTCTTTGTGCGCTTCACCATTCATGTTTCAAACATTAGGGTAGCTGGGGCTGTAACACTAGAACAGGTGCAGCTCTAAACAAAAGCTATTATACATTTTTAATCTCTTTGTGCCGATTTTCAGCCTGTATACCTGCTGAGTGTGAGATGACCAGGACACAAAGGTGTGTTAAAATGTTATTTTAGGAAACTGGGAAAATACTGGTTTGCCTTTTCTGGCGGTTTGCCTTTTGTGGCGGTGTGTGTGTGTGTGTGTGTGTGTGTGTGTGTGTGTGTGTGTGTGTGTGTGTGTGTGACTCTAAGCTATCTGGACTCCTTTGTAACCTTGCCGCTTCTGTTGACGTCCACATTTGTTTTTCTTATACCTGTTACAAAAAAAAGAACAGAACATCATTTATTTAATCAAAAAAAAAAGTTCTTAACCAGATATTTTACTTTGAATTCCAAAATCCAAAAAAAGAGCAGGGGAACAAGATTAAATGTCTTAAGAACTATCTTTCAAATGTAAAAAAATAAGCTTGTTGTGTATTTGCCCATCCCTCAGGATTCTAGTGCCTGCCTTTAGACCATGAGAGGCATGATTTGAAACGGGCTACACCTGTAGGTGCTGGTGGTATGACATGATGACAGTTTAAATTCATCTTTTTGTAATTCGTGAAAAAAAAGACAATATTTGCTTAAAAACCTAAGCAGAGTAGGAGTATGAACTACCACAAAATAGACAACTAACTGTGTCCCTGCTGGTCAGGTATTGTAAGGTATTATTTAGGGCAGTTTTACTGAAGAAAGCTGCTTGTTGAAGCTGATGAAGACGCTATGTAAGCTGTGAGAGTGAACAAAAAATTCAATACATAATTATTTTTAAGTTAATCACATTATTTACACCTCATTAAGTTACTGAAGTTACATTCCACCCCTGGTTATTTGTTTTTTGCCCTATCTCAATTATGAGTTTCACACAAAACTGTGGTGTTTTGAGAAATCTGGACATGAATGCTACTTTAATGGAAGCTGTGATGCTGCAGCATAAACACTGGTTTCTGATCATTTATGACATCAAATCCAGGAACACAGACACACACAAAACCCACATTTACAGAGCAAAGCCTTACCATTTGCAGAAGAAGTACAGTACCCCAGCCAGACCTATAATCAGCAGAGTCACACAGAAAATGCTGACAACTATCTGATCCTCCCCTAATTTCTGAACCACAAACTCCATGTTGCTACACCTTGGGCCGTAGAAGCCTTTCTCACACCTGCAACACAAAAATAACCGTTATAACTGAAAATTAACACACACACACACACACACACACACACACACACACACACACACACACACACACACACACACACACACACACACACACACACACACACACACACACACACACACACACACACACACACACACACACACACACACACACACACACACACACACACACACACACACACACACATACTGGCAGTGGTGTTCGTTCACGTCCTCCAGCAGCATGCACTGGCCATGGTTCATGCAGAAGCTGTCAAACGTGCTGCCGCAATTCTGTGTTGATCGTTTCACCACATGAGGGCGCTCTTCTGTCGGTCCTGAAAAAGCTAATTCAATCCATGCATTATTCTTGAGACACAACATACAGACCTGATTTTCATAACTAGGCCGCAAAAGAAAGCCTCTTATCAAGAAACCAAAAGTCATAGATCTTTACCATAATTCAGAGAAAAGCAGCACATCCTGATTTCTGACAATGCACTACTGATTCATCCTCACACAATATCTTATTTTTGAAAGTTAATGTGATTTTGTCCAGGCAAATACCTGCAGATAGAGAGGTGCTCACGTCTGCAGTCTGAAGTCTGGAGGAGACACTCCTGGTGAGAACATTCAGCCAGAGCAGCAAGACAACTGTTGAACAGAGAATATTTGTCTCATTTAAGTTCCCTTAATACAAGCTGCATGGTTGACATTAAGCTGGTTTTCATATTTGATATTTTACATCACAGTTGATATTCTTACATTGAAAAACTGAAATGTTGACTTTAATTAAATGTATTATGTCGACATATTTCAGCAAATATATTAGGTTTAAATAAAAAAAATATTAGATTCAACTTAATATTATTGCTCTCAACTCACCTAATACGGTTATGTGAAGTTTGTTGACATAATACATTTAATTAAAGTCAACATTTCAGGTTTTTCAGTGTATTTATTCATTTATTTAAGATAAGGGAAAACAAAAATCATAACCTAAACATGTTCTCCCACATGAAAACTTTGATGTGACTTCTACTTGACATTATAAATGACTTTCATTCGACATTTAAACTGAGAACTTGATTGGAATAAATGAAATATTACATGCAAAATAAATGTGCTTTTGAAATATGACATTGTACATTAGAAGGGGGATTGTTATATTAATTATTAATCGCCAACACCCCAAATTGATTTACATTTTTGTTAACTGTTTTACAAAACTTGCAAGACGAAAACCAGAAGTAAAAACTTTAAGGAAAATGTTTTTTTGCAGAGAATAAACAGATTTCCTGCCTAGCTAGAGCATGATGATGATTTGATGCGGTGTGGCTCATGGTGCCCAGCCCCACATGCTTGTAGCAGCCTGCACAACTGTTAATGTGCTGAATCTGTAGAACGCCCACATTCCTGCAGGCAGGAGAGAAAACTTGAACCTGGAACCTGAATCTGGATAAACTCGCTATAAAAGCCGGCCCTCTCTGGGTTTCTGTCCGTTGTTATGGATGCACAGATATTTTCAGCCCGGTTGTTGGGTGTTTCTGATTCGGATGATTAGAGGAAAGAACTTAGGGAACTTTTGCCTATTATTGTTTAGTCACTGTCTGATCAGCACATTAACATCATTAATGATGACTCACTCTAATCTCACCAGAGCCAATGTGACCATGACCCCCTTCTGACCTTACCGCATTCATTTGGAAAGAATTTTCACTTTTTTAAAAGTATTTTGCACAGCAGCTGGATTTGGACTCTTCTGCCTTTGTGAAAAGTATAATATGCAACACAGAACTGGATGATAAAAATGTAAATTAATATAGGGTAAAGTGGACAGTGGCACAACAAGCTTACTCAAAAAAACTCAAGTGTGCTTACACACACAAAATAAAAAAGAGGAATACAAGTAGGTTTATTAGACGCAAAAAACTTCCAAATGACACATTTTTACAATTATCCTGTAAGGACTTGCAGTGTACATGTATTGAGACATTGACACACTCAACCTCAAATGTGTGGTACTTTATTCAGTATTCTCAGAGGAAAATATTCTATTTTTACTTCACTTTATATGTTTTACCACTACAGTTAATGTTATTTTGCCATTCACAACTAGTTTGGCTTGTGAGTCCTTACCAATAAGTAATGGTAAATGGACTGTACTTATATAGCGCTTTATCCAGTCTTTAAGACCCCTCAAAGCGCTTTACATACTACATGTCATTCACCCATTCACACCCATTCATACAGAGCAGTGTACCTTACTCTA